AGCTATAGAGAGGAGAAGTGATTGATGACAGCGATCTCCCACGCTGGTTCATGACGACTTAGGCGTTCAGTGCGGAGCCCCGCACTGATTCCCGCCATCCTTTAACTCGAGGCGGAAATGCCAGATGCCTTCGCCCACGGTCGAGGCCGCAGCTTCGATCTCGATGCGATGAGAACGCCTGCGTGTGGAGAATGATTTACCACCGGGCCAAGATAGCTAGAGTGAGCCAAGATTCGGATAGTGCAATGCGGGACAGAAGGCGAGACTTTTCGGAGGATCTGTTGATACTTCTAAGACGCGAGCGGTGCCGAGATTCCTTGATCTCGGAAGCACGCTTGCGCTACAGGCGCTAAAGTGTTTCTGGGTGGACAGACAGTGCAACTCATCTCACCAGTTCGGACTCTAGGCTCTCGCTAGGCTGCGGGAAACCTCCCTTCGCAATGCGAGGATGTCTAATTGCAGCAAGGGACGCAGCGGTGAGGTCGTGCAAGCATCAAACAGCTGAAATAGCTCAGTAGCGTACACAGACATTCAGCATTCTCATTCCTGCATACAGGTGGGAGAAAACTGGCTCAACATGGCGGCAATCAGGTCAGCGGTGAGGTGCCGGGCACTATGTGCAGACATCCGTTCGTGGACGCCCACCGTGCTGCTCGTGGGCAGCATTCGTAGCTGGAAGAAACAGAAGCTAGCGTGTGTATGAGGGGGCATGGGTTGAGACTCAAGCGGGACCGCATAAGCCTGCAACCCTCTTCTCGACCTCACCTCCACTTCTACCTCACGTCCACTTCTAGATAGACCAGGAAGCTCCCTACCTCGGAGGAGTGGGCCGCAATATGCCTACCGTTATCCCAGCTCCCATGTTTGAGAAGTGGAGGCAGTCGCTGCGCCGCAACGTACCCATGCTGGTTCTCCCGTGTCACCCTCTACACTTCTTGTCCGGATGATGATGTGGCTGATCTCAGCCAGTGCAACCATATTGGCCACGGATGAAGCAGTGATGTCGATGGATGAGGCTGCGGAAGTGAGCTGCGCCCGATCCGAGGCGCGGAGATGGCACCTCCGACCACCCGGCGCTAGCAGCGGCCTACGAATCATCGCCGTGTCTATGTTTGGTAGCGTGCGCAGCGATCTAACCGTTAGTCGGTGGCCCGGAGCACCTCCGCAGGCGTTGACGGCAAGTCCGCAGCAGCAAAGATGTGGTTTGCCGCACACATGCCGCTGGATAGCCGACGTGCCGGCGCTAGAGTCTGCCGCTGGCCCAGTAAAAGCTTCCAGAAGAGTGGATCGAGCCGATGAGTCGTGGCAGCGGCGCCATGTGCACCTCAGCGGTGACGGGTGGCTGCAGTTGCTTGCAGGTGCGGAGTGAGCGAGTGGGTTGTTGCATGTTAGCGTTTCGTTAGTGCATCCGGGTGTGACTGCGAACCTCGTTGTTGCGCGGGTCGATCGTGTGAGGTCATGCCTCATACAGTGGAGCTCCCTCAGGATCCTCAATTGGGCTCCTCATGGAACAGGGCAAAGACGGTCCGCAGTGCCCCGAGGCCACTGCACACGTGTTGCGGGAACATGCATGCCCCGCAACGCACTGCACATGCTTCCATTGATGCATCATGGACCGCCGTGGGGCTCACGATCATGCGGTGCAGGAGTGTACGTAGGCTGCGGGGGCTGGAGGCCGAGTGGGGGTGCCCTCATCCTCCGGTCCGCTTGCCGGTGTGTCTACGCCGGCTCGCACCCCGAAGACAGCTGTGCATGATGTCAACGACGCAGAACACACGGTAGAATCGAGATGCAGCGGCGAAGAGCAGTTTAGCAGGTGGGGGTTGCACTCCCTAGTCTCGCGCTAGCATCGGCACAAACACGTGTCAGCGGCAGCGCAGCTGGAATCGCAGCAGGTCAAGCATGGGACCCACGATTGTTCTTGCCGAACACGGCACATCGGTGCCCGGCTAGTGATTTAGCATGGAAGGAAAGGAATCCGGTGCCGCGCGTTTGCCGGCGGTGGCGGCCCCGACAGAGGCATGTGCTCACGCCTAGCTCGCTTACTTTCGGGCAAGTCCCCGCTGCGGAACGTCTCCATGAGGGCAATCGGAACCTCATCGACCACATGCAGTGCTATTCACAGACGCCGCTCGTATCGTTGTCCCAACCCATGAGAGGACCGGGAATGCCTAGTGCTCTCGGAGTGTCAGCTGATGATTCCTGTCGGCGCGGGGATCGACTGGCTCCGGTTAGCTGAGTTAGTGAATCGCGGCCTGTTGCGATTCTGACTCGGGACGTTGGTGCCAGGCTAGGTGCGGCACTGGCGAACGAAGCGCCGCAGCAGGTTGCTCTGGAAAAGATATAAGCAGCAGGTCTCGAGCTCGAGAACAGCCATCAACCACAAGCTCGTCTCCTTCCATCACTACCACCACCACCACCACACCACAACCAACAATGAAGACCGTCTTCGCTCTCGCTGCTATCGCTGCCGCCGCTGGCGTCTCTGCCCAGGTCGAGTGAGTCTCCGGCATACCTACTCTTCCTTGTCCACGGCACATACCGAAATTCTGGTCATGCCTTCCCTCCTTTCGCAATCCCTACCACTCTGCTCGCATCATCCTCGAGGTCGAAATCGGCGACAACGCCATATCTCGGCTTTCACCTCCCTTGTTCCTGTGCCTGCCCGTCGGTCATTCCGCCACCCCTTGCTCCACGTTGCTAACCCTCCAGCGCCTCCCAGATCAACGGCTGTGTCAAGGACTGCGTCTTCCAGACTGCCAAGAACGTCGGCTGTTACAACGAGGCCGACCCCACCGGCTCTGTCAACTGCATCTGTGGTGACAAGCGCGGCGACTTCACCGGCCAGGCTGCCGGCTGCATCTCGGGCGGCTGCGCCGACCAGCTCGCCGGCGCCCCCGCCCTCCTCGACAAGCTCTGCAACGAGGGTCTCAAGGACGGCCACTGGTAAATCCAGTCGTCTGAATGCACGTCTAGCCCAATTGAAGGGCAGAAGTAAGATCAGAAGTAGAAGTAGAAAGCATGAATCAATGATGAAGTCCACAACAGTTGCAGCGGCGTCCAGGAACATGGTCGAGGTCTAACTCATAGCGGAGAAGCTCTCGGGTAGGCTACATTGCCTGGCTGTCAGCAGTCTAGGCAGTTGCACTGTCGTGGCGGTCGGTTCTCAGCAAAGGTCAGTCCATGACCCACCTTTATTCGAACTTCACAGCTTAACCGCTTCCATTGCCGCGGGAATGTTGATAACAGCAGAGGGGCAGGGCCCGCTTACCTGGTAAAGATGATACTGTATGAGAGAGAAAGCCGAGAATAGATTGGTGTGAGATCAGTAAAGAGCAGGCCGTAGCAAGCGTTCTGAGTATTCAGCGTGCAAACTGACTGCGCTGCGTGTGCCGTCGCTCAGACGAGCTCAAGCTCCATGCCCCCCGAGTTGTCGTCCGAGCGATCCTCGACTCACACGACCACTCTTGCCCGCTAGTGCTAGTCCAAAGCATGTCAGCAAGCACTTTGACCTTAGTGCGGTCACTGTCTGTAGTCAGCTGGCTAGTTAAGCTCACTCGCGCTGGTCCCCCAGACCAGGGTCGAGTAATAAGTTCAACGTGATTAGCTCCATCGATCACGCAACCTCTTTCTCCCGTTGGGATGTCAGTGACCGTCAAACGGTCAGACACCGATATGCATGCGAAATGCCTCGATCAAAGCCCGGTTGCGTTGCCGGCGTTCGGTGCTCCACAGCTCCCCACACGCACACGAGCACCGACGGAGAAAGCGGAGCGGCGATCGGTGCTATTCTCGGAGACGGGGACGTCGCGTGACGATCGCCGTCGGGAGGGACGGAGGGAGCTCCCATTATAGCGCCTCGAGAATTCTAGACGTAAGATTCAGTAAGAGGGCAATGTATGCTGGATAGAGTAATGACACTGTATTTGCCTCATGCTTAGTCTTGGCTCTGCCAGCTGCAGGTGGATAGGCTTGAGTTGGAACTGCACAGAGCAAGGACCGACGGCCTCATGAGCTTGCGTTGACCTCTTGCAGCACGCAGCAACCGCAGGCCCGAGGATAAGGGACAGCACGTGGACATTCGCTCCGGTGCCTCGACGCTGGATCCAGTAAACGCGCCTGCTTTAGGTCACTGAACTCTAAATCGTTGGGACCTGGTGTGTTCGCGACGAGGGTGAGGGTGTGGAGCCATCCCCGTTCTATACTTCATATCGCACTCGAGTAAGAGCAGCTCCAAGGTCTGGCCAAGCCCTCTTGGACCAATAATAGCCGCATCGCATCCTCGTCCGGCACAGTTTGGCGCAGAGAAGTGCCTGCGCCGTGTCGCGGTAGGCACCCATCGGTCGGCTCACGGACCGACCACTTCCGAACGACCGAGCAATGGCGCACCCGACAAGGACTAGACACCTTTACAAATGACGGAGGCGCGCGAGGCTGCATTCACGGAGTGAGATGGCATTGTCCATGGGGCGAAGACAGGGCGTGGACGGACAATCCGTGCGTGGTTTATCTGATAAAACCGCCCGGAACTGCCCTGTGTCACATCTCAAGGATCCGTACCGCGGAACCGTTTGACGTTGCAGAGGTCGTCGCGAGGTTCATGGCGACGAAAAACTCGTCATGAAATTCGAGGCCCTGCAGCAGGTCCGTCGTTGTGCGAGCTACTGGGCTGAGTGCGCATGAGTGCTGGGAAGAGATCGAAGCCCCTCTCAGGTACCGCTTCAGGGCCGTGGGCTGCCTGCAGGAGAACGCCCGACATCATTGGCAGTTATAACGCTGAGAGGCATGCTGAGAACTGGGGAGGCTATCCGCGGAACAGAATCTCTTGGCGCACGATGAAACGTTGCTGCGTACTGCGCCAGGCTGTTCTCGACTCTGTGGAAGCGCTGCGTACGAGATCTCATTCATGGGACGAAATGACGTGCTAGTCGACACCGGCCGATACCTCTTTGTCCAAAGAGGACTGAGACCGAGAAGTAACCGTTCACAGATAGCGGAACAGAGGCATCGCTTAGCCCCAAGGTCTCCCTAGCTCCCGTGGGTGTGAGTGCACATGATTGCAATTGAGCGACCTGCAGCAGAGAAGGTTCTCTAGCCTTGCTGTCTCCACTCTGAAGCGGCCCGAAGCCAAGATCAGAGACGCAGCATCTAGCGTGAGCTGCGCTTCTTTGTCTCTCCCCGGCACTCATGGGAGTCCCGGATCTTCCTAGTGCGCGGACGGCTGCGCTACACTCGAAATCATGACGGCATTGCGCCATTTGACTTGTCCTTCGTGTGCCCTCGCGCTGAACACCTCGGTCTCTCGATCTGTGGGTGCCGTCGGCCATCATCGCTTGCGCCTGTCGGGGACTTCTCTTTCCTGCCCCACTCCGCTATGCTTCTCGATCCGACATGCGACACAGTTGGGGAGCAAGGGAAGGCGGATGTGAAGAGTGGGAATCGAGAACTGATGAACTGCGGCACTGCTGTTACAGATCTGCGCCCGATGGATGGGGGACGCTGGTTGGCGGAGCATTATCTGATTGCGGCCGAAACCAGTGGCACCCTCCACCCCCTGATCCTTCCTCACCTGTAACCCACGCGATCGAGCACATGCACGATACGGAACAACGTTTGTGGGAGACACCGGTGACGCTGGGTTACTCCCCGGTTCACCCCACACACGACATCATACGGCCGGCCGCGATGAATCACGCAGTGTGATGACTAGATTCATGACCAGCTCCGAGGGGTCCGACACACTGAGAGGATAAGGTTGGCCCAGCGAAAAGCTGCCCATTCATCCACCAAACACAGACTATTCATGCACCGCGGTGGGCGTAAGCTGGGCCCGTCATGCATTGTGCGGCTAAGAGTCGGGTCGGTCATACGTGCGGCGCCGCTCGATCACTTCTGATCACTGGAGACTGCACAGTCGGTCCACGTACCGACTCCCTGCGCCGCAAGCCCGCCATTTCCACCCTCAAGCGCCTTGAACGCCGCAGGAGCGCCATGCATACCTTCAATCGCGATCTGAGACCTATCTTTGATCCGCTATTCGAGAGTTTTCGGTTGGTAGGCCGGCCATTGCATAGAGTGTGGTTCGTTCTTGACGTTCGAGAGGTGGTCCGAGTGACCCGATATCTGCTGGAGGGGGGTTGAATACCGGGTTCCGGTTGGTCCTGGGAGGTTATCGACCGAGACCCCGCTCGAGCGTGCCGAGATAGCCTGAACACGAGTCGGCCGAAAACTTGGCACTCTGGCTGAACGGCCAAATTTAGCATGCTAGGGGCGGAGAGAGTAAGGTTGTCGGTGGTGCCTGGCGCGTGCTCGAGTATCGGTGGATTACCACACCCCCTTCCCTGTGTACCTGGGCTGGAGGGGGATACATCCTTGAATCGCTGGCGCGCTGCGTACTCGTCTGGAAGCACCCACGCCCGCGTGTAGATGTAGTAACTCACGGAGCTCCAAGGCACTCGAGGCGCAGAGGTCGTGCAGGCCGCACCCTCGATCCAGAGCTGCATGTCATCATTCTCGAGATGGGATGCGTCAATTTTTAGCACGCTCGAACGAGCACACCTCCTTGGCGCTCGCGCTGCTCCTCACGAGCCCCTACGAGCACCACAACTGGACACACGTGAGGATGACACGCACAGGCGGACAGACAGGTGTCACTTGACAGATTGTTGGATCCACAGAGGATGTGAGAGCTCCAGCCCCCAACCCCTGCTCGTCGTTGAGGTGAGCTTCAGGTCGCTCGATCCGGAAGGCGGTAGCTGTCAGCAGACAAGTAGTGCACCACCCCGAATCTCCGCAATGCTCCAGGCCACAGATCTTGCTCGCTTCCGCTGCGCCTCTGCTTCGCTTTCATCGCAGCGGAGGCGTAACATACATCGCTTGAGCGCTGTAGCGAGTCAGGCAGGCAGCAACGCGCGCACTGGAAGCAGCCTCTCTGAATTCAGGGTGACATTCCACCGAAACGCAGACCGAAATTGAGAGCTGGCATATCCACACACCATTTG